TTGTTATCTCAGTTTCCTTAAAAGGTGTTGGCAAACCATCTAGAGATTTTATTTTTTTTTTTGGCTAGGGGAAAACCATTCAAATTCTTAAGCTACCTCAGTGGAATCTAAACTCATTTTGCTCAATTAATGGTTGATACCTCTGGATTCCTATCCCAATAGGAGAGCGAGCTGTGGCTCTGACTGGAGTTCAGAGGTCCAGTACTGTTCCCATGGCCTGAAACAGCATTTGCCATAAAAGGGCAATTTAATCCAAATCTAGAAATTCTTGTTAGAGAAGTTACTGGAAAGGATCACCATGACATCTTGTGATCAACTCAACACAAAAGGGGCCAAGAATGACAAAACAGCTTGCAGAAAAACTGGTTATGTTCAAGGAAGGCACAACCGGGAGATGTTGGTAACCTAACTGACAAATAAATTGATTTTCAAAACGTTTTTAACAAGGTTCTTTGCTTTAAGTATTGAACTCTGTAGGACTATCAAGCATTATGAAGAGGGCAGTAGAAGGCATCAGTCATTAATGTATTTACCAGCAGTCTCGAGGGGCCAAATGATCTACCCGCATCTCTCTGCTTGTATTATCCATGCTGAGTTGTGGTTTCAATGTTCCATTAAGTCTTACAAGGCTTAAAAAAAAGTAACATGAAGTCCAAGTATCAGGCAGTTTAGTCTTCCCTGGGTGCCGGCCTTTCATTGAAAAAGAATTTTGCTCTTTTATTACATTTCTCCAAGGCTTGAAAAATAAATTTTTCAAACTGTCTCCAAAAGCTTGTAAGTATTAATGTCACCATAATTGGGACAGCATTCAGATATGAGTCAGCTTGAGGCTTCAAGGCCCTTGCTAAAACTCAAAATATCAAGTCAAGCCCTTGCACAGAATTTAAGGATTTGCAATGTTCAAGGTGTAATGTTAAAATAATTTCTACACGTAATTGGCTCATCACTACCAAACTAGGTTAAAAAAAGTGAAGCAATCAAAAACTGGATCCATGGGTACAGTGAAATTGATCTTTAAATTTTTTAAAGCGAGATGTTGATTAGGCAAGATGCGTTGTTCACAGTTGTCCTCAAAGCAATGGTGGCCTTCACGAGTTACGAACACCCGTACATCCCATTAGAGCACTTCACTGACATGAAGTCAACTAGAGTGATTGGAAGCTAGAGTTCCATGGCAGTAAAAACCTGATGGGATAGGTTTCCCTGTATACAGTAGTAAAGACGGTTCTTTTTCGTTTGTACTTTTAAATTGTGGACTGAAATGGGAAAATAGCTTTTTAGAAAACAAAAGATTACTGCAGCTTTTACAAGTAATCAGACACATTCTAAGCACTGCTTACACGGTTGCTTCTTCAAGTAACGGTTAAAGCTTTGTTACAGCCGATCCAGAGCCGAAGGGTTGTGTATAGATGGAGCTTTGGTTGGTACAATTCACTGACTGGCCTGGGAACTTGTGACCAGTTATCAATGATAAAGGGCCTTCTATCTGCCAACTGTGATATTGGTTAACAGATATTCACAGCCCCAAGTTGTCCTAAGCTCCAAAGTTATCAGATCTCCACCAGCAGAGGAGCAGTCAGTTCTTTGCAAATAAAACCATTTCAAAGCAGAAGAAAACCACATTTTAACCCCCAAAGGTCACTGTAAGCAGTGACTCATAGCCTCCACAGAAGGACAACAGAGCAGTGTTCTGACCAGCAAAAGAATGAATGATCAGGAACCACTAAATCTGACTTCCCAGCCTTTCCCTCCATCCATATGTTTTTCTTTAACTTCAGTGTTTGTATCACCTATACCTAAGTGGGAGTTTTAACTGGTAGCATTATATACTAATGGTTCTTGGTTGTTTACTTGTAGGTAGCATCATTTACTTGTAATAAAGTCATTTTTGTGAAGTACAGAAACCTGGTTCATGCTGTCAATTTGGATCCAAACAATTGGTAAATAGGGAAAGTGTGCTTTTTCTAAAGAAATAAGTCGTCACTCCAGCAATACCAGGCTTAATTTCCAGCATGCTAATTGAGGGAGGCCTGACAATTGACAAAGCTTCAGAATTCAGAATTTAGAATTTAGAATTTTAGAACAGATTTCAGTCACCCAATAATCAAAATCAATAGAGCAGATATGACGACTGGAATAAAAAAGTTTGGCAGTAGCTTTCTAATGCCCCAGGTTTAGCACTTTCACCATGTCACATTTAAACTCTAGCTCCAAATCGATCTTAAAACTGCTCAAAGACCAAATACGATTGAAACTTCTAAACAAAATGGTTCCAATTGGAATTCAATGCTGTATCAACTCATTTGAATTAATTCAACAACGTGGGTTTTGAAAACTCTACATGAATCCAATTCAATGAACTCATCTCAGAGATTTTTCTAAATGATGCTTAGAAGTAGAATCACTCTGGTTCTTCTCCTGTGCTTCATTTCTAAATAAAAAAATTAAGATTCTTTCACAGCATTTGTTGAAACAAATTAAACCTACAGTGTGGTTATTTTCAGGATTTATGGTGTAGAGTTCAAAATTTTCAATCTCAGCACCTGGTCTCGTATGGTTAAATCACTCTACACATTACTAAATTAGAGTACAGGTGAGCATTTCAATCTGTTCTGCAGGCTTATTGCAAGAAACTCTCATATTAAAGCTGTGTCTCACTGCTGTCAATCAGCAAAGCATTCAAATCTTCACTGTATTCGATAGCTGAGCATTCAAAAATCCAAGTGGTAGCTCCACAAATCTGTGTCGTAACTAAAGAGAAAAACATTTCAAAACTGATTGAGAAATGACAACACAACATTTCTTGTCTTTTTGTTTAATCATCTTCCTTGTGAAAACCCTTTTTTCTACATCAAAGAATTTAGCTGGATAAAATAATTCCAGAATAATATTCCAGTGAATATAAAGGGCTACATTTCAGTTCTTAAGTACATTGCTGATGCAAATGTAGGCATGAAAAAGCTTGATGCAGTACAAAGAGTGCAGTGAAATACAGTTTTAAAAACAAACAGTATTTGTCTTCTGTGCGAAGCAATTTGATGCCTACCTTGGCAGTGGTTTAAGTATTCTCAACTACTGATGATACGTTACACATACATACATTGGAGCAACAGCTGACACTTTTGCTAAACATGTAAACTTGTATGTGCTTTTTAAAAACATTTAAACCAGCCCAGCAAACTGCAGAGAATGGGGAGGAAAAAAAGTATCCAAAAGGAAAAATCTTAAAACAAAGGTTAGGCTTTCAAAAGTGCCCAACACATCTATGTTGTGCCAGCAGCAAATACCTGTGCGTTTTCCTTGTCGACAACGGCCAAGTCTACCTGTCATTTTAGATGTTACAGTAAATACACAAACTTTGGTTTGACCTAATGTAGTCAGGAGACATGGTGATATTTTACTCAACTGAAGAGTGCAGCTTGGATCAGACCTACTACCAGATTCTTTTATTAAAAAGGATGCAACAATGGAAATATGAGTATTGCAGTCCAAGTAAGTTTCTATGGCATCAGTGCTGGCTTTTTGAATTTCAGTAAGTTGACCTTCTTTCACGGTGGTGTTTGCTAATGAAGTACTTGAAGAACTCATACACAGACCAGGCAATAGCTGTGGATGGCATCTGATAGATAACTCTGGCCTGTACTCCCTTAAAATATGCTGGGATACCACCCAGCCGGTAAACCGTCCTGAAGGCATTTGCCATGCCAGAAAGATGTCCACTGATGTTGAGGGAGTTAAGAGCCAAGGATTCCTGCGTGTTTAGTAGTGTTTTGCAAACATCCAGTGGTGTTGTTACCGCTGCTGAGACAGCCCCCGCCATTGCCCCAGAGAGCACATGTGAGGAGGGGTTGTATTGTCTGTGCGGATTCAATTTCTCCTGCAGGAACTCATAAGTCATGAAATGAACAGCTTGGAAGGGGATGTTCATAGTCAGTTGGGTGGTGTAGCTCCGATAGAATGCTCCAGCCCCTTCAGTTTTCCACACTGTCCTCATGCAGTCTAAGACTCGTTTGTAGGGGGAGTTGTACATCTGCATCCTTTGCTTCACCACTATGCAGTTCAACAACAGGTTAAAAAAGAGGTTCCAGTTCGAAGAAAATGGGAGTGGAGACAGGGTTTCCATGGCATCCCAGGTCACGTGCAGGCCATGTCAAAGAGAGATGGGTTAGAGCAACAAAAGCAAAACATTAAAACAAAGGGAGAAAATGGAAAACAAGTTAGTGAAACACATTCAGCAACTTTTTCCCCTACCCACCAGCCAACTCAAAAACTGATTAATTTCTTTGGTTTCCAAATGCAAAGGCTCTCATCTTTTTCCTGATAAAAATGTAGTTTACTACTTTTAGCCAAAACTGTTAATGTGCAAAAGCAATTCAATGTACAAAAATAAAAATATAAGTTAGGAATGCAGGAGCATAAGTAATTCAGTTCCTTCAGCCTATTGTGTTTTTTAATGAAATCATGTCTAGCCTATGACCAAATTCATACCTTTGTCTAACATCCTTCAATACCTTAGCTAACCAACGAAAAAAAGCTATACTGCTCTAGCACAAATCAATTTGAATTCTGAAGGTAAATGAACAAGCCATACTTGACAGTCCTCAGCCTTGTGCTGAATATCCCATTCGCTGGGTAGGAGGAGAGAAGTTGATTAAACAAAAAAAAGTTTAAGGAGTTAATAAGATATTTTAGAAACAACCAGTTCAGAGATACATACCTGTGAAACAGGTGGGACTTGAACCTGGGCCTCCTGGCCCAGCGGTAGGGATACTACCACCATGCCACACGATCCCCTAAGGGAGTTAATACATGCACTACCCTGAAATTGGCTTCACCTGTTTGGTACCATGACAGATGTGTTCATTTCCCTCCCAAGCTGCAAATACTCTACGTTGTACGCTTTGCCTCTTCTCCACATATAAACCCAATCAAGAACCCTATCCATCTCAACTGCCCTAATGTGCTGCACATTAACAGGTTTTGACATATTAAAAGCCATTATCTGCCCAATATGCCACCTAATTTTGGTATGGTCATACCCAATATACTACACTTCGAATTTTCACCGAGATGTCAGGTAAAACTTCTAATGCAAGCATCTTCAATTCACAAAATGCTAACAGTTAAAACTTCCAATAGGAGTTCCTATTTCAACAGAAATACTACAATACCAAAAAGGGAAAAAAACTGTTCAAGTCATCTGCTAGTCTACAGGTAAAATAATGAAGGAGGTCAAACTTAAATCAAGTAAAGTTTAAAAGTGATCATTTAACTTGACTATAGGTGGTGTCAATTTTTAGGCCAATTTTAAAAAGCCAATAAAAATGTGCTGTTAATGACATACTATTGGAATAATGTCAAACACAGGCCCCTTTTGGAGAAAAGACCAAATACAAAGCAATGAAATTTTAAAACAAATCAAAGTGGAAGAAATACGCTCAAGTATTTGTAATTAACCCATCAAAATAGCAGAATGATACATATACAAACATACAAGCAACTGGCAAAAAACTACAGCTGCAGGTAACATTTCAAACCCAGCCCGGTTCTTTATGCACTTAGCAGCTGAACTCAGACACAATAACCTGTACAGGAGGAGACAACAACAATAGGGTTCAGCAACTATCTGCATCCAAAGGGTGGGCGCAAGATTTACTAGAGTAAGACAGCAATGCTCACTGCAGCATTCAAAGGCCTGCAGAAATCTTAACCTAAAATCTTTATAAAAGACAAACTTGGTCTGCAGAGGGCTCTAACTCAACTGATTCTGGACGTTACAGAAAAGGTACTTATTCATCTGCAGTTAAACTGCTTTAAGTTCGCCCAGTCTAGTCAACGGCCAGTGCAGAAGTCAATTATTCACTGACTGATGGATTTTTAAAAATATACAGTGCATGGACAATATGGCAATTAGGAATTTAAGAATGTGTAGCTAGGTAATGATTCTGCTACATGTCACAATTGGGAATGGACTTTGCTGTATAGTTCCCCAGTTATCAGTAGCTTTAAAAAGGTACTTCTTCCAAATAGCAACTTATCAATTTGAGATTCCAGGCAAAGCAGCCTTAATTGTTGGAATTGCCCAGCATTGGTTGACAGACCTCTTCTAGCACAAAGCAGATTGTGTTCTTTTTGCTATCTTGTTCCAATGAACTGATCCAGCATTGTCATTTGTATTGACTTTACATAAAAAGGTATAATAACTCAGACTGATATCAAAGCTGGAAAGTTTCCTGATTGACAGCAAATCCATACTACCAAACCAACACATTTCCCCACTGAGCCATAAGGGGATTTGTTTTAAAATACTCATTCTAGCTTGCAGTATTTTAAAAGCTGCAGCACTTACAAAGCTGTCAAGTTATACCACCTTTCAAAATAATTTGTGACAGCTTTGCTTTCGTGTAATAAAAATCCCAAAACACTAGACAGAATCATTATGGAACTAAATTGGACACCAATGGAGATATCAAGACATATTTCTGGTAAATGAGATCACTTTTTAAGAATTCTTTCACACAATGGGAGCAAGATTGAGAGGGTTAAAGTCAAGGGAACGAGTATGACTGGTATCTTAGCAGCTGCAAGTATGGTTGCTCATGGTAGATTCACTTCCCTGTTAAACAACTTGGGTAGTGTTTGAATGACTCCTGCAATCTGCAGATAGGAATATGCCGGCCATGACCCTCAGGGCTATGTCACAATGAATTGCTGACAGGCAGTCAACTAACACTTGTGTCTATAAAACATTAAGCACATTAAGTCAACTGCAATAATTTTCATGCTCTTTTGGAGCAAACTTCTGAATGATAAAGAAGTTGTTTGCAGAAACACATTCAATAAATGCTTAAAACATTGTTATATTGAGAATATATAACAATGAGGGACTTGGGCTGTAAAGACAGTCAAATTAGAGCCAAGTTTCCCTTAAATCTTCAAACTAAACTCTCCATGTGACATTGAGGCTTTAAATGATTTACCTCAAATCCTTCAGAGTAAACCACAAATCTTTATTCATCTTGATGTACATAAGCTCTTCATGGTTAGCATGATAAATGCAGTAACCACTACCGTTTTTCTGAGGCCTGATGTTTTGGGCCCAAACATTTCACATGATATTTCAAAACATGCAATTTCAAATTGACGTTAAAAAAAATTTATCCCCTAGAGTTTGAAAGCAATCTAAAGTAAACCCAACACTTGATTCCCAAATAGGTCTGAATTATCAACATACATGTGATTCTGTTTTGGCATGCCAAAACAACGTGAGAAGTCACTTTAGGCTTGTCAACTTAAAAATATTGTTTCAAGTGTATTGCACAAGTTTGAGATTCTTTAATTTGCTGACAAGCTGGACACAGACAACACCTGCCTCTTACAAAAGCAAATCTCAAGCTATAAGATCCAAAGCTATTACTCAGTCCCTGATAATAGGAATGCTATTCAATACCAAGATTCGGTATTCTGCTTCACCTTATGCACTTTGTTTAAAGTATTGAAATGGCTGACACAACTGGTTAGGGATCAAAGGATTTTAAAGCAAAATTCCCACTCCAAATTGTTCTCTATAGAAGACTGCTGAAAATCCTTATACACGTGTCTGTTGTATCAGACAATAATACCATGGCCATATTCACTGTTTGGGCATGCATAGCAATTTCCACAAGCAAGTGTTTGTGAAACATATCGAGAAAGAACTTAAGGTGACAAGATTCAAATATTAGGATAGCAAGCAAAGCCCAGTGAAGCATGTCAGTTATAACAGAGGTAGTCATGCAATTGACATTGAGAAACAAAGACAATTTATTCCAGTACATAGTAGGTGAGGGAATCACAAAAAAGTGGCCAGAATTAGAAGTGCAGACACTAATGGAATTTATACCTATACTCTAAGGAAATATGATCCCATCCAGTATAATAAAATCTTCATATTTACTGAAGGAACATTTTCACAACTGAAATTTCGGAAGGAAGAGAGAGGAAAAATGAGTAAGGAAGTTCCCATTCTAAATCATAGCTTATTTACCTCTGCTGGCAAAGACTTGGATGGATACTGGGGTAGAGCAACTGTTTTGCTCTTCACAGCTGAGCAGCCCATTAGCATGAATATTTAGGCACCTTCATAAAGAATGGCCACTCGGACATGATACTTGATAGCAACAATTCCCCTACATGTAGTCAACACCTTCAGGAAAGTAGAGAATTGATGGTTGAGGAGGGTCAGGTGTAGAGAGGTAAGCTATATAGTGAGAAAAAAAAAAAAAGGGATAAAAACAGCAGATACATCAAAAAGCATGCCAAAAGCAGCCAAGTCATTTGAAACAGCAGCTGCAATGTGCTGTTTACATATTAAGCAGAATACTGTTGGTAAATCTTTGGAGAAGTGTTACTTTCAGGAAATTAGTAGTGAATGTTATCTACAAAATATAGGTCACCCTGATCTAGGTCACCCTGATCTAATACCCAATGCACCTGCAAAATCCCAAAGACCTGTCTTTCCCCAAAACTGCACCGAGCTTTAAGTGCCTTCACACAAATGACCTTGCCTTCACCAGCTGCACATTCCCGTCACAAGGTGACACTAATTAAGCTATTTAAAAACTTAAATTTTTCTTTCAAAAAAGCTAGCTTTCTGCAACCATCTGTAACTTGTCATTCAACACCAATTTCCACCATCATTTGAGCACCTGGCCATTACCTTGAACTTTTACTTTAACATTCTCATTCCAGGCAAATATACCAGGGAACACAAACTCAAGACTGCAATCCAGCAAGCTACTGGTGCAGAATTCTTGGTAAATCAAGCTGAAAAAAGTGCTGATCGGTGGAATGTATCTGCCAACACTGGACAGTGTCAGCGTATGTTTGGCCTCTAGATGGAGCACTGATTTAGAGACAGAGCTAAACAGCAGCCAGCCACACAAGCTGCAGTCAAAAATCCATTACATCTACTGACCTGGTGTGAACCATTTGTCAATTTTAGTTGAGTCAGCTTAACACTTAAAATTACAAAGGAAACAACTTGGCAGGCAGACTGCAACTATTCATTTGTTGCATCTGCCTCACCCACACAAAAAAAAGTTGCAATATCATTCCCACTCAGTTCAGGGACCAACAGTTAACTTATTCTTTCCGGTCGGGACCCTTCTTCAGAACCGAAACGTCAACTTTCCTGCTCTTCTGATGCTGCCTAGCCTGCTGCGTTACTCCATTTCCACACTGTGCCCCTCTGACTCCAGCATCGGCAGGTCTTACTGTCTGAGCTAACTGGTTCTTAAGCCTTTGCAATATACTCCTTATATCGGCAGAGATAACTATGTTAATTCCATTCCCGAATGAACATGTTTATGGTTGTGCCGTGTTGCACAAAGCGTGTTTACACTTCATAAATGCAGAATGTCCAAACAAAAAAAGCTATCCATTAGGATAACTCCTTGGCAGAAATAGAAATGCCAAACAAGAGTTTCAAAATACATTATGTGGCAAAGTAAATACAGAACCAAAAAAATTCAAACCCTTTCCTCCTATGAATATCGACTAGGCTGCAAGTTGTAATTTGACTTGATCTGTTAACCCATGACAGCTGGAAGGAAAATCACTTTACCACAAATGCAACAGCTTTATGGCAACAAACCTGCATAGTGCAAGCTGAGGAAGCCTGAAGTTTAAAGATCACAGAAGTACCATAGTCAAATAATTCCACAATTGTATTGTCACACTTAGATACAAAAAACTAAAATACAAATAAGAATCCTGCAAAGAAAAAACATTAGTTACACAGACATGCTCTTGCAATTTTTAAAATTGCCTGCAGAAAACTAGAGGGCATAAATAATTCAACGATGCTATCCCAACAATCACGTGCAAATTCAAAACCCCACGTCCAAGTCCAATTTTTAAAAGTGGTTTTATTTTCATTGACAAATATGCTTAAATGACCTGAAACGCAAAAGTAGAACTGCGTGTTAAACCTGATCAAAACTGAAAGAAAAAAAGTCACTCCTAGGATAGGACTGAAGGATATACATTACACATAAGCCACATCTGAACAGGACTGGAGGAAGCCATAGGGACAAGCTAACTACACTCTTTAAATGCTCTGATGAAAAAGGGATAGCAGGCAGAGCACAGATTAAACAGAGCCTCATCTAATAATCTGATCCCCTAAAACCAACCTTTGAGCAAAATTTAAAAGTGGAAGACAGCAGAACGCAGAAAGAAAGTGCATTTTTAGCTTAGGTGGCATGTCAGAAAAATACAATTTACTTTATTGCTTCCAAGACCCAAAAGAAGCCCATTGCTCCAGGTATCCCTTGAACAATTTTGAAAACTCTTAGAAGAAAAGGGGGACCTCAATCTAGAACTTGTTGTTATAAGAAATTACAAATCCTGGAAAGGACACGGTAATTTCCTCTTCTGAAACGTCTGCCTTAAACTGTCATTGTGCTCACTGAGGTTACAGATTTGAATTGGTTCTACAGACCAAAATATCTTAATTTAGATGATTACTGCTGATTAGTAATGTCTCTTTGAGTCATAGTATTGCACAAAATGGATTCAATTGAGGATATCTCACATTTCATGTGAAAATTTGAAGCAGCCCATTTGTTTATCAGTAAATGAATCTGAGGGACAACAGTGTAGCAGTCATGTCATTAGACTAGAGACAAGTAATCTGGAGGCCCGTGGTAATGCTTGTAGGACAAGTGTTGAAATCTCAGCACAGCAACTCATGGCATTTAAGTTCAATTAATTCTGCAACTGAAAGTTGGTCTTAGCAGTTAAGACTGAAAATAAGTGCCATCAAAATGCATCTTGTTCACTGAAATCCTTTAGAAAATGAAATCTTTATAGTCTAGCCTACATGAGACTCCAGACCAACAGCATTGTGGCTGACCCAAAACTGCCCTCTGAAAGAGTCATACAGCGTGGAAACAGACACTCGGTCCAACTTGTCCAAGCCGACCATGTTCACAAACTAGTTACACCTGCATGCATTTGGCCAACCCTCTTAAACCTTTCCTACTGGTGCACTTATTTAAATGTCTTTTAAAACATTGTAACTGTACCTGCATCCACCACTTCCTCTGGCAGTTCAATCCACACGCAAACCACTGTATATAAAAAACATTGCCCCTCACATCCTTTTTAAAATTTTTCTCCTCTTGCCTTAAAAGTATGCCCTCTAGTTTTCAACACCCCCAGGTGAGGGGAAAGACCTTTACTATTCATTCTACGCTCATGATTTTATAAATCTCAGTAAGGTCACCCCTCAACATCCTAGACTCCAGTGCAAGTCGTCCTAGCTTATCCAGCCTCTCTATAACCCAAACCCTCCATTCCTGGCAACTTCATGGTAAATCTTTTCTGAAGCCGTTCCAATTTAATAATAGCCTTCTTACAACAGGGCAACCAGAACTGCACGCAGTCTTGCGGAAATGGCCTCACCAATGTCCTGTATAATTTCAACATGACATCTCAATTTCTGTACTCAAAATGTCCGAGTAATAAAGGCAACCATGCTAAATGCTGTAACAGAAATTTCAGTGTTATGTACGTGAACTCCCTAAGTCTCTGTTCTACAACGTTACCCAGGGCCTCAACTGTAATTGTGCAAGTTCTGCCCTTGTCTGTTTTACCAAAATACAATACCTCACATTTATCCAAGTTAAAATCCAACTGCCACTCCTCAGCGCATTGACTCAATTGATCAAAATTTCTTTGGAATCTTAGATAACCACCTTCACCATCAACAATATCACCAATTTTGGTGTCATCCACAAACTACTAACCTGATCGTGCCAGTGATACCTACATCCCATGAAACGAATATTCAAACTTTAGGAAGCAATTTGTTAAGTGATAGAATCTTATTCATCCACAACATCCCAAAAGCATTTTACAGCCAATCCAATACATGAGATGCAATCGCTGAAGTATAGACAACTAACGAGCTTCAACTCAATTTGTGCATACAAGCCCACACAGACTATGAAGCTCAAGTTATATTCTAACAACTTGGTCAGAATACCAAAGAGGATACTCCTATTCTTTTGAGTGTCACGAGATCATATGCCCGCCAGAAGGGCCAGACAGTTCAATTTATCACTTCATCGAAAAGATGGACCTCCGACACTGCAGCATCCCCTCTGTACTGTACTGCAGCATCAGCCTTGATTTCTTTTGCACTCAAATCTCAAGTTCTGCTGGAAACTACAACCCAACTCAAAAGCGAAAATACTACCAAAATGAGCCATGGTTGACAATGGCTGAGGAGCAAGAATACAGGGCATGAAAATAGCTCCAGCATTTTTAAAAAAAAAAAACCAAAATGACAAAACAGCCTCCTCAATACACTTTTCTGATCAAGAATTGTACCTATGCAATGCTACTGGACAACCACCACCCACACTTCCTTCCCCAAAAGGGGACTGGCCAGGGACACAATGCAATACCAGCCAATTGCTAGCTGTATTGGTAAATTCTGAAATATGCAGAAGTACAAATTGTTTTTACAATGTATCTGCACCATACTTAAGTCAAAAGCAATAGCAGAAAATCTTACAATTAGATTTTTTTAACCTTGTTAACATTACCTTCAGCAGGGTTCATGGCCGCATCATGAAACAAAGTCGCCACACATCCTGCTGCACCTGCAAAAGAAACTCCACACGTGAGTATGGATGAAGGTCACCCAGAGTTAACGAGACTAGTGGGGAAAATAGTACCCTCAAAGTCAAGGCTGCAAATCAACATTTGAGCAACTTCAGCCATCAAGTGCAAGCACCTTAAAGTGCACACCAGACTTCAGAGAAGACCAGAAATTATTCAATTTTGATCACAGGTGGGTGCATTAAATCCAAGCATTTCTTTTCTGATGTCCACCCATTAGAAAATTGTACAAACATGAGCAGTAACCTCACCCATAGATCCATCCTAATAAAGAACAGGAAGAGAGTGGGAGAGAAATATTTGATTAAGTTTTATTTTAGTAACTACATCTACAAAATTCCCCATAAAAATTAACCTGTATTCAACTCACATTTAGCCCCTTCTCTTCACCTTCAACACTTTGTTGAGTGAACTTCCACAAGTTGTCAATGTCACTGGAACAGTAATTCAAAGATACCAATTTCTAAGACCATGCATCTAATTTCTATCAAGTATCCTGTGCGAAGGGACATCCATCCTGACAAGCAGAGGAACATGAACTGTAGATCTCACTGCACTAGTTGGATTCTAAATACAAGGATTGGGCAGCCTCAACTCATGAGACAATGAGCTTGTAGGGCATCAGTTCCATCAGACTAGCTGGCAATTTCCAAACAAGGGATAGCAAGTGCTCTAAAAGACAGAACACTACCAGGTAGGTGAGTTAGCATATCTGAGGCATGACAGTAGGCATGTACATGCAGATGGAAATGGTGTGGAGGGGAGGGAAAGAGGCGCTCTCTAGGCCTTCATTATTAACCAGCATCCTGCTGGATGTTTGAGAGAATGAGGACAGCACAGGTGTCAAATAAGTAACAGCCATGGATGAATTTGCCTGATGACAGTCAGAACCCACTTGGCATCTGGGCTGAGTTAGGAACTGAGGAGAGCAAAACACTCACCTATGCATACTTTAGCAATCTTGTGACTAGAAATTTGCTACACATTATTCAAAATTTACATTGTGTTATTGCAATGAGAAAAGCATGACGACTATTCAACGTTGTGCATCATGCTCAACTTCAGAATCTTTGTCCAAAGCTGAAAGTGACCAAGATGATTCATTCTCCAACAGTTGTTTGGGTTCACAAGTGCAAACGTGTTCTGGCAGTTAACAGCTCTCCGTTAACTAGTGGGTTGCAAAAAAACTCCAAATGCCAGAACTTCAGGAGTCAGCAAAGCATCTGATATGATGGGCTTAAAGATGTCAATGCATTAGATTAGCTTTCTAATAGACCAGCGTGAAAATAAGTGTCTAAAAAATTACACTAAGACTGATTACATGTCATTTGAGCTAATGTTTAAATATACAAAGCAGCCCTTCCAAGTTAGGGCTTGGAGGGAGACTTTGCAGTTCAATCTACTGGTCAACAACTCAATCACAAGACATGTCAGTGCTTTACTTACCAAACATTATAACCTGAAAAATTAAATAGGAACAAGGAGGGATGGAGGAGTAAGAGCAGTTCAATGAAATGCTGGAATGATAGTTAAAGCAGAACACTAGCTATAAACTTATGCAAAAGGGGCCAAACAAAATTGTGAAACATTAATCAATGCAAGGTTTATTTGCTCTTCCCATTTTGAAATTTGCTAGTTATTGCAGATTATGTTAGCAAGCAAAGACAAAGACAAGGTAACAGTGCTGGGTGCAGAGAATTATGGCATTTTAGGTTGAAAATTTAGAAAATTAAAAATCAGCCAAAGTGTCAAGGGAAGCAATGAGTAAAACCAAAACAAAAAATCTTATTTTTGGATGATGAGAGTGGGTGGGGAGTGGACTGAAGAACTACATACGAGAATACAAGTTACACAGGGCAATATCACACGATTCATGGGGTACTGAACTTCAGGGAATACAACCGGCTAACTGAGCAATACAGAAACAGAAGCTCAACAAGACAGCATGCCAACACCATTCTAATTTCATTCCTCAAGACATCTTCCAAAAAGAAAGGACTTTTGAAAAGGAAAAATGCAACATTAGATGGGAGGATAGCTTATTGGTGAAGTAAGACTTGTAGAATTGGTATTGCTCCAAAGAAAGCATGCTTGGATAGCAAGGAAAGGAAGGGGCGGGGGCGAAATAAAGGGAAAGGGGGTGAGGGAGAAGTTGAGAGATCACCTATCTGTAGATCAGAATTCAAAAAAGATTAACACATGAGACACATTGTCTCTATTAAAAAAGGTTCTAAAAAGTAAACAAAATAATAAAAGGTAGAATTTAAATAAGTTAGTGTAAGTAAACAGTAAAGCCAAATCATAGTTAAATCAGAGTTTAGTGACTTAAGAGTTATGTAGTTAAGACACAGGTGGGTCAGAGAAGTACAGAATAATCGCAGAAGTGATCTGATCCTCAGACTAAACTCTCATGGCAGGTCAAATCTGCTCTATTAGTAAGTGGAACGACCATTCAAAGTTTCTACTCCAATAATAGAATCTGTGCAACCTCAACTTTCCTTCAGTGTATACTTAAAGTCACAAGTTAGTAATAAGCTTAAAAACCTGTAATACAAAGTTTATTCATAAATTCAGTGAGTGCTATGAACATTTGATTTTACCAAAAAGATAGTGATATTGCCAAGTGTCAAAAGCATATTATGAATTGAGTCACTTCCGTGAACGTGAACCAAGGTGAAAGATCTTTTTTAAACTACAATTAAGTTTTGCTGAAACCACCTTGATTTGCCAAACCAAAAGAGACCACTTAGCTTATGTTCCACGTGAGCCTCCACACGCCCTAAATAATCTCACCCCAACACATACTCATGTACGCCCTCACGGACCTACGCAGATCCCTAAATGCATCTGTCTCACTGCCAGGTAGAAACATATTTCACATCATACATTGTCACATTTTGCTTTTGAAAAAGACATTTACATTTTGGGCCATTACTCATCACATGAAAACATCGAAAGAAATTATCTGGGCTGCTGGCAGGAAACATGTCAGGGCCACAAGTTGTCCTGTTGTGCAGCATTATGAACAACAACAAAAAAAAAAATACTGTAGAGCTAAGCTAGATTCCTAAATAGCACAACATCAAGTAGTGCATTATGTTTGGCTGAATTCACCCAATCCAATTGGGTCCCAACATGTATTCTCTAGTCAGAATCACAATGTGTAAAACTACGTTACATCACAGCAACAAACTTAAAAAAAAAAAGCAAGGCTAGAAAAAGACTAACATGCTTACAGGAAGGCAGATTAGTAGATTTAAAACCAGGACAGCACAAGTAGTTTTCAGCATTAGGTGAACATTCTGGTCAAGGCACCTGCACAGAGCATTAAGAGATTACATGAAAGAAACAAATGGGAAGAAGGGGCACAAGGGTGCTTAACTGTAGAAGAATCACTTAAGTAGTAATTAATACCATTAGCTATGTGACTATTGCCACCTGGATGGATGGTATCACTCAGTGTCTTTTTAATTTTTTCATAGCACGCAAAGTAGAGGGCATGCGCTGGCCCTGCACCAGTGGCAGTCACATTTAATCCTCTCATTGGCCTCCAAAACCCTTCGGTGCGGACAATCCTCTTCAAGGCATCCATTACATTCCTGTACCGGGCAGCAGGGTCTGGCTGTAGGCTCTGCATTCGTGTCTGAAATCAAAAGAATAAGCAATGTTTAAAGCAACTGGAAAACCAAAACAAGTGCCTGAACTACAGAGTTGTCTTAAAATACAGCAGAATCATAACTGAGCATTAGGTACCTGATCTGATAGACTAAGTATATAAAATGTGAATGAATAATAGTTTTAACTATTCAGACTTGGAAAAAATACATTAACTTTTCAGCAAAATAAATTCTTAGGGATTCACCGATCAAGAGAGTTCAGTGGAGCCATTACTTGGAACCTACTCATTTGCATAATTTTTCATTAAGCTTTGCAAACTTTCCCATGTTCTGCATTAGCAGTAAAGAGACAAACTGCATGCTTTAGAATCAATTTAGTTTAAAGCGAAAGTGAAATACTTCAGATGCTGGAAAAAAAGGGAAAAACAAAATACTCAGGACAAACTGTATCCACAGAAATGGATACAAAGAGCATTAGAACTGGTTAAAGATGAGACCTGAAACACACACACAGTTCATAGAAGCTGCTTGAGCTGATTATTTTCAGTATTCACTGTTTCTACTTAGAGTAATTTAGTCTAGCTTTTTATTTCATTTCCCCAAAGTGAAGTTTTGAAAGCAATTTCTTAGTTTCCTGCTCACTTGAAAATAAAGAAACTCAATTCAAAGATGTTAAAGTATCTTGCCCAGCATATCTAAAAATCCAGCTGTCATTAAATCTATGCAAACTGCCAAGTGGATAGAGGAATATTCTACTGGTATGTGCGCATTTGGTTAACCAGACTGGAAAGTTTTTTAGGTGAATCCTGTATTCATTTGTAATATACTTCAAAAAAAAGGTACTTCATTCGCTGTAAGCAATTCCAACAGCCACGGAAGGAGCTTATAAAAACGTTAGAATCTTTCCCTACACGAGTACTCAAATTGGAAATGCAGTATTTGCCACAGGAAAAAGTAAAGATATTGGATCCAAGTGAAAAATGTTTGCAGTCTGCCAAGTGATAATTACTGGCGCTTTAAACAGTCACGTACAAGACAATCAACACAGTTTTCTACACTAGATCTGTAGACACTTGGTTAATCTTGACTACACAGAGATTGATCTGCCACGTTTACCCTCCATGGGAGTTCTCCTACCTGAACCAAGTCACTTTTCATGTAAAAATAACAGACAAATGTTGGAACGTTATACAAGAAAGAGCACGAAATGATGCAAACCAGAAGGGTGTAAAAAAAATCCATTGACCAGATAATGTTCCAGCTATGACCTTTCAAGCAGAAGAAAGAAGAAACAGAAGTGACAGCCAAGGTCATTTCATCCTCACTCTGAATTATAAGTATGAAATCGAGCTCCCCGACTACTGCGCAGATGATTTTTGGCTTTGGAGATTAGTTAAAGCCTAGATCTCTAGCGACTGCACAGTACCTGAGTGCCTCAGCCTATTTCAATTGAAACACCAAGTGCAACACTAATTTGCACAAGTTATACTTACAAATGAAAAATTGTTAAATTTTTCGTAGAATATCCGTCACCTACCCTTATCAGAAAACTACACATTAGGCTATAAATACAGTTCCAGCTCATCTGTGAAACGGTGACTCAAGAACAGTATTAGTGTAGCAGTCTTTCACGTCACCATCTTTTCCACCAATCTATACAATGCATTCCCCTACTTGGCTGCCCCGAATCAAACCTAAGAAGTGCATCGGAGACAAGTAATCAAGTGGCAGTAAAAGCCATTTGCACAAGCTTGGCTTCATCCAATATTAATCCATATTCATCTTCTGCACTAAATATGAAAGTAATATTCTCATTTCACAAAACAACCATGCTATTCCATATTTCCACAGCATTTATTAATACAATAGGAGCAGCTTCTTCTGACAATCATGCAGGTTTTTAAAAATGATGATATAGGTTATGTCATTGTCAAAAGTACATAGGGTTTCCAAAGAGTCTCCATTTCAATTATGCTTTGAGTAAATTCACAAGATCATTGTTTCTACATTGTGTCGTCTGCAAAAGCAAAAAAAAATTACAGAAGTGTGCTTACTGGGTGAAGGAATAGGGCAAAGTAAGAGGAGCAAAATAAGAGCAGAGTTAAAGGTAGATAACACAAGGAGTCAGTCAACAAGAATTCACGCCAAAGAAACAACAGAACACCATTGACATTCCAAAAACATGCCCTTTATAATACATTATAATTAATAACCAGTTTAAACTTAAGTTTTATTCTTTTGTGGTTCGAGGCAGTACCCACATGTACAACAGAAACAATAAACTAATACCAATTTTGACAAAGTGCATTCAATCTTTCTCCCTATTACTAAAACTGCATTTAAAAGCAGCTCATGGATACATTTAACAAAAACAGAATCCAATCTTCCACAGATCAGAGCAGGAGCCTTCTGAGGGTAATGGACAGTTTTCTGGCTTCAGTTTTCACTTTTTGTTCAGTCTTAATAGTGGAATTGAAACGCAAAGAAGTCAGGATTTGCTTTCTTGACAACTTTTAGTAAGGTCAGTGACAGTATTTTAATTCAGCCAAAATATTTAAGTTTTCAATACAATTTAAATTTGAATATTGCAGAAAAAGAGGCATGTACAAAATGAAAAACTTTGACATCAGTACAGACAAAAATACCAAAATTCAAACAAATAATCTTAAAGTTTATACTACAGGAGAAAAGCACGCAGACTGGTTGGCAAGTTGACTGACTACCTGCGGAAATAAAAACAATTAAAAATCCAAACCTTTACCCAACTGAACTGTACTACAGTATTTTCCAATTTCCTGAATATAACTTCAGATATTAGATTCAACTTACAAAAAAAAAAAAAGAAAGAAAGAGTCAACAGTACAGATAAACTTGACACAATTCATTTTGCGGAGATAAGCCACGGCTTAAAGGCTTGGTTCCTAAATTTAAAGCTGCGCCAAAATCATACTTTCTTCCTACATCACTGTCCATTTTTCTGTTCACAAAGGATTTCACATCTGTGACTTTGATATCTGTAGATTCGTAATTTAACTTTCTGCACAGGTACGTCAAGAGGTTAGCAATACAAAAGTAACTGACATGACAATATATAAATATTCAAAACAGAACAGAAATCTAGGAGAATTGATTCTATATAGACAATGATAATTCCAATCAATTTAAGACGAGTTGCTGAATCAAATGGGGGTGGACAACGACAACAGAGGATACGTTTTACAAGTTCACAAGATCGCTTTTACTTAAGCAATTTTAAAATTAATTCTGTTGTAATAGATTGATTATTCAATCTATTAAGAACCCAGAACTACACAAAGAAATAAGAGTAGACCATGTCCCCTTAAGTCCTGTTTTTTTTTTTTAGGAAGTGTAGTCAGAAATCAATGAAGTCGGTTTAAGGAAAGGTTTGATACTGTTGTTTGAGGTAACAAGGTGTAGAGCTGGATGAACACAGCAGGCCAAGCAGCATCAGAGGAGCAGGAAGGCTGACGTTTCAGGCCTAGACCCTTCTTCAGAAACAGGGGAGGGGAAGGAGGTTCTGAAATAAATAGGGGGCGGGGAGGGGGGAGGTGGATAGAAGATGGATAGAGGAGAAGATAGGTGGAGAGGAGACAGACAGGTCAAAGTGGCGGGGATGGAGCCAGTAATGGTGAGTGAAGGTGGGGAGTTAGGGAAGGAGATAGGTCAGTCCAGGGAGGACGGACAGGTCAAGGGGACGGGATGAGGTTAGTAGGTAGGAGATGGGGGTGGGGCTTGAGGTGGGAGGAAGGACAGGTTAGGGAGGAGAGGACGAGCTGGGCTGGTTTTGGGATATGGTAGGGGGAGGGGAGATTTTAAAGCTTGTGAAGTCCACATTGATACCATTGGGCTGCAGGGTTCCCAAGCGGAATATGAGTTGCTGTTCCTGCAACCTTCGGGTAGCATCGTTGTGGCACTGCAGGAGGCCCAGGATGGACATGTCTGCAGAATGGGAGGGGGAGTTGAAATGGTTCGCGACTGGGAGGTGCAGTTGTTTAGTGTGAACCGAGTGTAAGTGTTCTGCAAAGCGGTCCCCAAGCCTCCGCTTGGTTTCCCTGATGTAGAGGCGGCCACAACGGGAACAGCGGATGCAGTATACCACATTAGCAGATGTGCAGGTGAACGATGGGGGTGAGGTGTAGCACATCCTGCGGTTGCAGGGAAAAGTGCCTGGTGAGGTGGGGCTGGAGGGAGTGTGGAGCGGACAAGGGAGTCACAGAGATAGTGGTCCCTCCGGAAGGCAGATAAAGGGTGGGGAGGGAAAAATGTCTTTGGTGGTGGGATCAGATCGCAGATGGCGGAAGTGTCGGAGGATGATGCGTTGGATCCGGAGGTTGGTGGGGTGGTACGTGAGGATGAGGGGGATTCTGTTTTGGTTGTTACACCTCCAGCCCCACCCCTATCTCCTACCTACTAAACTCATCCCGCCCCCTTGACCTGTCCATCCTCCCTAACTCCCCACCTACACTCACCTTTACTGGCTCCATCCCTGCCTCTTTGACCTGTCTGTCTCCTCTCCACCTATCTTCTCCTCTATCCATCTTCTATCTGCCTCCCCCCTCTCTCCCTATTTATTTCAGAACCCCCTTCCCCTCCCCCATTTCTGAAGGAGGGTCTAGGCCTGAAACATCAGCCTTCCTGCTCCTCTGATGCTGCTCGGCCTGCTGTGTTCATCCAGCTCTACACCTTGTTATCTCAGATTCTCCAGTATCTGCAGTTCCTGCTATCTCTGATAGTGTTGTTTGTTGTGTTACCTATGTTTGTTGTGTTACTTATAATACCTCTAACCAGCCGACAAGCGTAACTTTTTTGTGCCATGGCTACGTAAGCCCACTTCCCCCGAAAGCCCAAAGACAACCCTCACTCCTTCCTTAAACCGGAGTCAACATCTTGAAGAGGCTTGACAGCATAAAGTGGTTGGTTCTTCTAACTGAGGGATTGAGAAGAGGCAAGGCTCGAAGATAAAGGTTTGATCATTTAGGACCAAGATGAGAATTTCCTCTCAACT